GCATTGCGTTGCATTGACTTGCGTTGTTTTGCCTTGTGTTGCACTCAATCGCATTGCGTTACGTTGCGTTGCGTCGCTTTGCAATACGTTACAGTGCGTCGCATTCCGTTGTATTGGTTTGCATTGCCTGACATTGCGTTGCATCGTGTTGCTTTGATTTGCATTGCCGTGCGTTGCTTCGCACTGTCCTGCACTGCATTACATGATTTTGCTGTGTGCTGCGATGTGTCGCATTGCTGGGCATTGCGTTGCATTGCTGTACATTGCTGTGCGCTGAGTTGCCTTGCTTTGCATTGTGCTATGTTGCGTCGCATTGCTTTGACTTGCGTTGCATTGCGTTGTATTGCTTTGCATTGATTTGCATTGCGCTGCATCGCGTTGCAATGCTTTGCACTGACTTGTGTTGCGCTGCATTGCGTTACATTGTGTTGCATTTCGCCTCATTGTGTTACATTGCGTTGCATCGCGGTGCGTTGCGTTGCATTGCGTTGCACTGCGTTGCTGTGCGTTGCATTGCGTTGCTTTGGACTGCTTTGCCGTGCGTTGAATGTCATTGCATTGAGTTGCATTGGTTCTGTTGGTTCGCATTGCGATGCATTGCGTTGCATTGCGTTGTATTGCGTTGAATTGGTTTGTGTTATTGAGCAGTGCGTTGTGTTGCTTCGCACTGCGTCGCATTTCGGTGCATTGGTTTGCATTGCTCTGCATTGCTTTGGGCAACATAAATTGCACCACATGAGGTGCATCGCCCAGATTCCACCACATTCTTTGCACATCCTAGATTTCCCCGCACCGGTTGAAAGAAATCCGCGCGTGGGGTCCACGCTGGCCAACATTGCCCAGTGTTGTGGAAAGGGCCCAGCGCCCGTGTCTCCGCATGCCCTGCGGCTGGTCGCAGGACTCCCAGGATGTGCCGCATGGTTTGCCCTGGGGCCAGCGAGCCTCAAGACGGTCCAAGATGGTCCCAAGGAGGAGGAGGAGGAGGAGGAGGGGGGGGGGGCAAGAGCATTGGTAGGCCATCTTGCAAGCCCTGGGAGCTGGCCCCAGAAACCAGAACCAACGTTTCGCTCCTCCTCCTCCTCCTCCTCCTCCTCCTCCACAAAAAATGTCAGATGGTTACATTCTCGGCTGTTCTATCTTACGAGCGCCCGAGACACCCAAGAGGCCACCCAGATCGCCCCACGACGGCCCAAGGGCCACCAAGAAAGGCCCAAAGGGTGGAGGTGGACGTGGGAAGAGGGAAGACAAGATAGAAGGGAAGGGAAAAGAATGGGAGATGGACAAGGGAGAAGCAGAAGCGGAAAACGGAAAAACCATATGAATAGGCAAAAGAAAGGAAGAAGACCAGGGAGATGCGACGAACAACAACAGGGAAGAGGAAGAGGGGGTCGGGGGGCGTCCTCCCGCCCCTCCCCAACCTCCAGCTCCCCTGGTAAGTTTGCAACAGGCACAAGAATGGTGGGTGGGTATTTGTAGAAATAGGTATCCCGACTCAGTGCCACGCACTTTCGTCTTACAGGCTTGCAACAATTACAAAGATAAAGGGCGATTCGATTTCAAACAGGAGCTCTCGCCTTCGCGCCGTGCTTTAGCGCCGCGCACAATCGTCCTGGAAGCTTACATCAGTTATCAGGATGGAGGGCAGGTCCTTTCAAAATGGAGTTTCCCCCTTGAAACTCTCTCTCTCTCTCTGCATGGGTGCAGGGCGGCTCCTTTTTTCAGATGGGGCATTCGCTTGAGACCTCCACGAAGCTCATGACCAGAAGCACAAACGTGTGCAACATCTACACAGACAGGGACGGCTCTCTTTCAAAACGAAGATGTCGTTGGACTCCTCGTCGAAATGTATGAGCAGACCTTTTTGTTTCGCAGTCCTTATGGCGCGCTAGAAAGATGCAAGGCAGCTCTTGTCCAGAGCGAGAGCCAGGCCGAAAGGGTCAGGGCCTTTCAAGGGCGCACCTCTTCGAGTGAAAAGAAAGGCGCGTTGGACTTATGAGGATGGGACTTTGGACGCGAGTGTGCATTGCGGCATCGGTGATGTATATTGGGTTGAGTATGGCCCTCCTCCGCCTCCTCACTCGTGCTCCTCCTCATACCCTCCACCTCCTCATCCTCCCCGTCATCATCATCATCATCATCATCATCATCATCATCATCATCATCAGCAGCAGCATCATCATCAGCATCATCATCAGCAGCATCAGCATCATCATAATCATATGCATCATCATCCTTATCGTCCTCCTCCTCATCATCATCCTCTCCTTCCCCCACCACATTCTGATCGTCAACATCCCCTCGCGTCCCCCTCCTCCCCATCAATTATCCTGCTCCTCCTCCCGCTTCCTACTCATCATCCGAGCCCCCTCGCCCCGCCCGCGAGCCTGCACCAGCTGGCCAGCCTGTCGTCGCCACCCAGGGCAGACGCCCCCTGGCAGGGGCGGAAGTGGGGAAATCGTCGTCGTCGTCGACGTCGTCGTCGTCGTCAGTTCGGCGATGT